TAAATACATTCCTCGATGGCAGTATTACATGAATAAATTGTCACCAATAGAACTAGTCAAATCTGGATTTCACATTGGTTCAACTATGCTGTTTGGAGGAGATGACAGTGATGATGATGATGATGTTGATGTAAAAAATGATGATGCTGAAAATGATAATTYGGATGGAGATATRAATGTTGATACAGATAGTGGTGCTACGAATAATGATAAGAATATTGAAAAAGAGCCAGAATYATTATCAAAAGGTATGAGTAAGAATCTGTTTCTGCCGTCTTATTTATTTAATGATTCTAATAATTGAAATAATAACATAGATGGCGAAAAGAAAAAGGACAATAATGACAAAAAAGATAAACAGAAAGACAGTACGGATGTTGGCGACCCGRAAAATTCTAAAAGCTATACAGGAATGGTCGACAATGTGTTGAAAAGTGACACTGTAGAAAAGGCCAAAAACATATTGCAAAGTGACGCTGCCAAAGAAACTGCAAAATCTTTAGTCAGTATGTTTGTACCTGGAGGACCAACGATTATTGCTTTAGCGGATGCTGCTTCAAAATATCAAAGTGCGGATGGCGCAGTTGATAAAGTGGGAGATAAATTACCTATTTGAAATAATAGTCTATTTCATTATGAAATTAAATTAAAATTTTGAAAATCATTCATTTAGATGTTGATGTTAATTGATAATTCACCAACTTGAATATGTTGTTATGTTAGACAATAAATAAAATTGGTGTAACTTTATTTTAAATCAACAATACTATATATTATTATTTGCATAAATTTAGAATTAATATTTGTGTTTACAATATTCAACTTATTATATTAAATATATTATCATATTAGTATCATTATATTTTAAAATAAAAGATTAATTATAAGCATAGTGTTCAAAACACTAAACAAAATTACATACCACAATACCAGTAATACCACATTGAATATAAAACATTAATAGGCACGATAGGGAAAACATTTTACGCATACTACGCTGAGTATTTTAAATATTAATATTAAGTACATTTTTAAGATATTATATAAAAAATTTCTCGTAGTTAGAATCGTTTGAGTATTTGATGATACCGCTATCAGAAACATCAGAGTTAGATACGGATTCATTCATTTGCCAATATTTTTAAAGACCAATTATTTAAAATGAATACATTAATATTAATACTTATTAATTAACGAAATATTCTGATAGGTAGTACAACGAGATAATTATGAATTAGCAATATTCAATAATATGTAAGTGTTTTTTTAACATTTATTTTTATGACTATTGTAAATTTAAAAAAGCGATAAGCACCTCTAAAGTATATACTTCATAACATGATAATTTGTATCATTCTTTTGAATTAAAAAAATCCTGCAATATTTGACTTTTTTTAAACACAGTTTTTAGTTACTACCTATTTTACCGCTCAACAATTATTARGTAAAACTACTCGGTATATTAAACACGCGGGAATTTAATTTAAATTCTATTCATAGCGGAGAATTTCGTATGTTTTACAATTATATGTGAGTATGATTTTATTATTATTATTTTTTTAGTCCAACATCACTATTTGAAGCAAAAAAGGTTCTTTAATCTTTATCATCTTCGAGGGTGATTGGAAAATATTTTAGGAATACGAAAATAGAATAATCTTTATAAAAAAGAATCGCCATAATAAATTTAAAAAACAGCAGAAAAGCCGAAATATTTACGCAATACTAATTTATTGGTAAACATATAAGTAAAATATTGAGGTCAATAAGGAAAGTTTTACGTGCGTGTAAATGATGATACACAAGGTAAACAATAGAGTTAAAAAATGGTTTATAGTTTGATTTTCATTACATCCATATAATAAAAATATTTATTATTAAATTACTATCACGTGTTATGACAATATTCGATAAAATAGATTATACGACACTTGAATTCTTTAATAAATCTCATTGCAAAATCCAAAACATTTAATGCTTTTTATGAAATATGGTTTTGATAATATGGTAGTTGATGTCGAATTCAGGCATTTTTTAAATGGTACCAGCATCATTATACCATAGCCATAGAGATAAACGCGAAACAAGTATATTTTCAAAGCAGTGTAAACTTCAGTAGAGACATGTATTGTGCACGTCTTAATGATTTTATCAAGCACCCATGAAGTCCAACTGAAGTCAAATTAACAATTTCACTGCCCTTCTGATTTCATTGATCTTTCCACGAATATCTTGAGTATCTCATACAAGCACTGAATAGTTTTGTGAACCATGGAGGATAGTTGTCATATTATATGATGCTCAGATTTTTTTCAGAGTTTTTTTTAATGAAAATTAGATATAAATAATGAATAAATAATCTCGAAAATGTTTTAATGTCATTTTATATCTTGTTAAGTACTCAAAGACAAAATTGACAAATATAAGTAAAATATTAAGGGAAATATAAATRAAAGGTTAACATGCGTGTAACGTATGATACACAAAGCAATAGACTTTTTAAAACTTAAAGTCACCACTTAAAAACATTTTATTTACAATCTATACAGTATAATTAGTATAACAAGTAAATTCGACACAAGGTTAACAGGAGGTAGCATTTATAGGCAGGCACTCAGCAGTTCTACCAGATCAAGTACTTTTTAAGTATTAACTATAGTTTAAAAAACTTTTTTTTAATCTTTTGAGTAGTGAGATAGAGGATAATTGTTTGATTAATGGATTACTGTGAAAATTTAATTTTGAAAGAAATTTAAAGTAATATACATTTGCTAGTTGATTAAGGGTAGGAATTTTTAGTTTTTGAGGAGATTATTATTTGCAAAGTACCAGGAAGAAGAAGTTATTAATCGTAAGCAAATGGATTGAAACGCTAGAAGCGTTTTGGAATTGGATATCTTTGCAGATCCCCATAACTAAACACCGTATTTCTAAACTGGTAAAATAATTGAGTTGTATGTGATTAGTTTATTGGATAGAGATAGTTTGGATTTGAATAGTGGTCTTAGAAGATGAAGTCTCGACCTAACAGTTTTACATCTATGTTTTATACGTGGGCTCCAGGTAGGGCGTTTATCTAAGGTTAGCCCAAGATATTTATTACAATTTTTAAAATTAGATAGTTACATTTAAAATTACAACTTATTATTATTATTAAAACATATTATATTATAGATAAACATTTTTTTTAATTACAAATTTTTTATATTGCATATTTTCGATAGCGATAACTTAACTGTTATAATTATATTGAACTTGAAAATGTACATGCTAAATTTAAAATGTGATCGTGGGCCGCATATTATGACAGGGCGAGCCACGGGTTGAAGACCCCTGCTCTAACACATGTTTTTACTCAAATATTAAAAGAATTGTTTGCATCCACTTGTTTGCATACAAACTAATTATATTTAAATGGTTTTATATGGCGATTATTAGTGTGTCATCACTCATCAGCATAATATATACCTAGAGATATATARAAGGTCTTAGCAATATTATGAGTGAAAATTGAATAAAAGCAAGAAGCTATATAACGTCCTTGTGAGATACTTGTTTTAATTGAATAATAAGTTAAATAGGTAGTATTTAGATGAATCGTAAAAGAGCGATTTGTCAGATAGGATTTAATTAAAAGAAAATAATGAGAGGTTAGGAATATTTTAAGTTTATACAATATTCTATCGTGACGAACCCGGTCGAAGGTTTGAGAGATGTCTAAGAATACTGCTGTACAGARCTGTTTTTTCCAAGAATCTGAATATTATATCAATGGCTATATGTAGCTGATGTATAGTCGAGTGTTTTGGTCTTAAACCAAATTGGGTATGGAGTATTATGTTGTTTGAGAAAGCGAAGAGAATGGGCCTTTTTAAAATGATTTTCTCGAATATTTTATAARAGGTTGGAAGAAGACTTATAAATCTGTACGAAGTTGGTTCTTGTGGTGGTTGTAGAGTTTAAGGATTAAGATAATTACCGAGTGTTTCCAAGTTATCGGAAAGTATGATATCCTGAATAGAGCGTTGAGTATGTGTGATGAGTAAATAATGGTCTTATTAGGTAGGTTCTTGCGATAATATTTGTTTATTAATTTATGGAATAAAAATGTCTTGTTTAGTACAGCACAATATTACTGATTATATCATGTCCTGTGATTTTTTAATAGGGAGTTGTTTGATAATTTATTAGATTTTACCAGGAAAGGTGCTTTCAACGGGAAGTGTTCGGTAGTGGTACGGCCGACACATAGAGTAAGAATATATGGCCTCTCTATATCATATCAAAATCCGATAACGAATCATCGGCCGGTAATAGGAGAAACAACCAAGGTGCMACCACTGGCAAAATCATCGAATTACAGTAAGCAGAGAGAGCTGTCACAGGTCACATGTTTTAGTTGTAAAACACTTGTACACTTCGCGAATGCGAGCCCAACCCGTACATGTCAAAGATACTACAACTTGGGCCACTCGRAACGGAGTTGTCCTGACTCTCGCAGTAGCCAGCGGAACGATGGAGTTGGTGAGAATGGCTATGACTTTTAGAAAGGTCACCCCAATGTATTGTATCCCCTTATATGATAAGTATTACAACTATTAAGTACCCAAATAATGTTKTGTCTGATGTAACTACACTTGTCGATACAGGTAGCCCCGTTAGTCTTTTAAAGTCCACTATTGTTAATTATGTGTCCGCAGTTGTACCTCCTAAATCTGATTTAGTTGGTATTAACCAATCTAGGCTTAGTGTGGTTGACCAATTCTCTGCTGATATTTTGCACACTGATCTTGACACACCTATTAATATAAATTTTCATGTGGTGCCCAACGATACCATTAAGAGTGACTGTTTGTTAGGGCGCAACTTTTTATCTCACCCTCGCATAATTTTAAGTATTGAGAATGGACAATTTTTAATTAATTTCAAGAAAAAAGTGACAACATTTCTTTTGAAGAAATTTTATCAATCAATTTTAAGAATGAAGGGAATAGTGATTTAGATATTGATTTAAATATAGAAAATACATTACCAGAAAATGTTAAAATAAAAGTTAAACAAATTTTCAAAGATTCATATTTGACTGGTAGTAATATTGTCAATGATGATAATAATATGCACCCAGAAATGATTATTCAATTAAAAAGTGATAATGAATTTTATTTCAGACCACAACGTCTCTCTTTTTATGAAAAAGAGTGCCTTCAAAAAATATTAGACAATATGTTGAGTAAAAAAATTATTAGGCCTAGTAAATCTGAATACAGTAGCCCTAAAGTTTTAGTAAAAAAGAAAAACAGTGAGTATAGATTATGTGTTGACTATCGTGAGCTTAATAAGGTTATTTTAAAGGACAGGTTCCCCCTGGATAGATGATAATATAGATTTATTAAAAGGGAAAAAATATTTTACATGTCTGGACCTTAAAGATGGATTTCATCATTTTAATATTGCTAAGGATTCAGTAAAATACACCTCATTCATAACACCTTTAGGCCAATTTGAATTTTTWAAAATGCCTTTTGGGTCGGCCACGGGTCCCTCGTATTTTAGTCGATTATTCAGGACATATTTAGTGAATTTATTCGGGAAAAAGAAATTATCGTATATTTCGATGATATTATGATCGCCACTGAGTCCATCGAAGAACATTTCGAATTACTTGCCAGGGTTCTATGTGTTATGAGGAACAAACAAATTGAAATACGTTTGGATAAGAGTGAATTTCTCAAATGCCAGGTATTCTACCTTAGATATAGTATAAGTTAACTTGGTATCCGATCAAATCCTAAAAATATTTGTGTTGTTCAGAATTACCCAGTCCCAACAAATCATAAAGATCTCTAAAGTTTTAWAGGATTAACATATTTTTTTGACACTTTGTCCCAGATTTCGTAATCATTGCTAAACCTCTGTACAGGCTGTACAGCTTGCTTAAAAAGGGAATYATTTTTGAGCTTGGAGAAATTAAGATCATTTGATTCTATTAAGGAAAGTTGGGAGCACAGCCTTTGTTAGCTATTTATGATCCAAAAGCGAGTACAGAACTCCACTGCGACGCTAGTAGTCATGGGTACGATGCTATTCTGCTTCAGAAGCAGGCAGATGACAAATTGCATCCTATATTTTATTACAGTCATAGAACTACAGACACTGAGTCACGTTATCATAGCTATGAACTGGAAATTCTAGCTATTATTAATGCCATCAAGCGCTTCCATGTATATTTAGTAGGGATACATTTCAGAATAGTTATTGACTGTAATAGTGTAACKCTAACACTTCAGCGAAAGGACATTAACCTTCGTATAGCTAGGTGGACCATGTTCCTTCAAAACTATTCATATGATATCGAGCATCGACCAGGATCGCGCATGCAGCCTGTTTATGCGCTAAGTCGTTGTAAACAGATAATGGTGCTAGAAGCCTGTACTTTTAATCAAACTCTTGCCATTAAACAGGGAACTGAACCGGATATTAAAACTATACATATTTGAGTATCTTGAAAAGTCAGAACACCCGTTATTTGAACTTCAGAATGGACTTGTGTACTGAAAGAGTAACGAGTGGTTACTATTTTATGTGCCGGCAGATATGTGTGAACAGGTTATTCGTTCTTGCCATGATGAAATGTGCCACGTAGRTGAGAACAAATTATCGAGTTGATTAAAYAAATATACTGGTTCCCAAAGTTAGCTGAACGCGTTAAAAAATATATAAGTAGCTGTCTAAAATTTATCATATTCTCCCCAAAAGAAGGCAAGGGTGAAGGATTGTTAAACTTGATCGATAAAGGGAATAAACCATTTCAAACGATACGTGTTGATCATTTCGGCCCAATAAACCAAACTAAAGGTCGATTTAAGCATATTTTAGTTATAGTTGATGCGTTCAGTAAGTTCTTGACATAATATCCAGTTCGGACAGTAGCAACAAAGGAAACTTGTTCTAGACTGTCACAATATTTTAAATTTTATAGTAAACCTTTTAAAATTAYATCTGATCGTGGTTCTTGTTTCCGTTCAGAGATATTCCAGGAATTTTGTCAAACTCATGAGATAAAACATATTAAAACTGGAGTAGGCTCACCATCATCAAATGGACAAGTTGAAAGGTATGATAGAGGTCTACCAGTGATGTTGTCTAAGCTGAAATATGAACATAGTAATGATTGTGACGAACATTTGTATAAAATTCAATTTGCGGTAAACAACACAATTAATAGCTCAGTCCAAAATACACCTAGCAAACTTTTATTTGGCATTAATCAAGTAGGTGAGAAAAATGATTATGTTAGACTTTATCTAGAAGCTGTTAATGAAACTGATGATGTTGATGATAATCCTCGTGATTTAGCAAAGCCCAGGAGTGATGCTCATGGTAGTATTCAAATGAGTCAAACTTCATAACAAAGCTTACCACGATTTAACGAAGCAAGTAGCTACTAAGTATACAGTAGGTGATTATATAATGGTTAGAAATGTTGACACTACACCTGGTACTTGTAAGAAACTTTTGCCTAAATTTAAAGGCCCTTATAAAATAAGCAAAATACTTCCTCAGGACAGATATGTCATATCTGATATCGAAGGGCACCAGATGACTAGAATTCCATTGAATACTGTTTTTGCAGCAAAGGATATTAAACATTGGATTAAATTTGATTTGCTATTTGATTAAATATTTTATTTAGATTGTATTACATCGTCATACTGGTGTTATATAATTTGTATTGTAAAGGTAACAATAACTYGTATTAATTATGTTTGTTTAAATGATTAAAATTTTGAATTATATTTAAAAAAAAAAACTGTGCAAATCGAGGACGATCTAGATGTCAGAAATGGCCGAAGCTGTAGTAATAATAAGTGATAAACTGTGAATGATAACGTCATGTGATAATTAGATAACGTTATGTGATATTWACTGATCATCTTTTAGTTTTACTGGACGACCCGTCRTGTACAGACCAGACACTAGCTATCGCGCTGTGTTCTTGTCTAATGTGTTTTTATAATTTACCTTCGTGTGTTTTTATTTAATTTATGTTTTAAATACAAATTAGTGTGCCGTTGCACCATAATTAATTGAATTTGTTTATTAATTATAATCAATCCTGACTATCACTACAATATTAATAATATCAATTGACAATTAGTGGCGAAGCGTCGTAAGAGACAAAGAGACAACGTCAGCCCGCTCAGAAATTAGAACATGGGACAAATAAATAATAGTTATTTTATTTCTTAAAATATTTAAAAATGTGAAGACTGTTTCGGCAGCTCAGTATGCATGCGCTAAAGCTGGTCAACTTAAACTGAATAGACTGAATAAAGTATAGATAATGACCTTAGTTGCCGGGCTAAGTATAATAAAAAGGGAGAGTCTAGGCGTATTAGTGCCATTTTTTTCAGTGTCTCCCCAACCAAAAACCTCACTACTCGCTATTGATAGTAATAATAATAATAATAATAATAACAATAAATKATATTATAAGAGGTATATTATCAACACTACGTGTTATGACAATRCYGAATAAAATATGTACAGCAATGTGGTTTCATAAATTGATTTTTATTTTCATTTAAAATAACATGGCAACTGGTTTAGATTTTTACATCCACRCAGTTATTGATAATAATATAATCATTCTAAATTAATAACGAAATGTTTCAATTCGTATACATTRTGTTTAACATATAATAAATTGAATACAAAAATATGATTTTTATATCACTTTCCAATCATAAAACTGTTTGAACCTAAAACTATTTATATGAATATAAAATACAACTTAAACATTAGGGTYCTATAAAACAACTGTAGGTAACATATGTTTTCTTAAAAGAGATATTATGTAAAACAAAAAAAACAAAATAGGTAGGTATAAAATGGAAAAAAGTAAAAGAACATAAAGCCATTAAGAAACGATTTCAAATTATCTGAAAAGTAATTTATTATATATCATGTATATTGATGACTAACCGTTACATTTTTATTTAAATTCACAACTAAAAGTCCGTGTAATAAATCAAATTATAAACATATTATTTATTTGTCATCGAATAAACATATATATATTTGTATGTGGTATCATATTATATTATAATGGCTCTTGTTTATTAAATAAATAAATATTAAAAATTATGACAACATCGAGGTGAAAACTTAGTTTGTGRTTTGCAAAAAACGCGCAAATGAATTAAAACCGTGCCATTTTTAAAACACCTTGCCCTTAATAACGACACCATTATTTAAACTTAATATGAYAATAATATTATAAAACTCATTTTGTCTAGGCCCATATAAAATTACTACCGTTGAAAGGTTTTTCTTTTTTAATTATGATAATTATAATTCAATGAGTTCCAATAAATATGTAGAATATCGTATTCAGTTTACTGCCCGAGTGACCGCAAACGTTTTCATGAGTTGTTTCCGATTGCTGCTGTAGTCATCACTTTTTCAATCCATACGTGTTCCAGTCTGAAAATATGTGAAAATGTTAATACAACAGAACGTATATCAATAATAATAATAATGATATTGATAATTAAATAGCTGATTAAGATTTTCGCGATCTACATGGTGCATCGTTTACCGAGAATGAACTAGCCACCTACAGTGTCAAACCAACATTATCTTTTCCGCAGACGAGAATTTTATTTTTAATTTGATAAAGTGAATTCTAATATTATTATGTGGTTATCATTGATAATTGTAATTTTGTTTTTATGATTTTTCCATGACATTGCATTTTGGTGATCCCCCKTCAAGATAACTTTTCGAGTCACCTCGTCTGATCGAGTGTACCCTCCACCAAAAAAAAAAAAAATTACTATTATTTGGTGATCCCCGGACCCCGGTTTCCTGTATAATTAATACGAATTAGTAGAAACCTGCGATGTAGCTCTGGAGGTCCTGCAACACAGGGTACCAATCGGCGCTCGAGTAATTCAACTTCGGTTTCTTGCCACCGTAGTCTTCGGGGAGCATGTTAGCATCCAAATACTTGTGCAGAGATGACATCTTGTTGCCGTGGAAAAACAGCTGAAAATCGCAACAGAAAACAAACGATTAGATTTTGAAACACAACCATCGGATATTATTGGCCAAAAAGTGTTATTAATTTATCAACGCCAACAATATTCTCTCAAAATCACGAGATATTAAGGTGTTCTTTAATAGCCCTAATATGGCACGCATACACACAATAAACTTATTGTTCAATGTGTATTGTTTGTTTCTTAAAATATTATGAATTATGACGTGCATAAAATAATTAATACATACACGTTTTTTAAGTTTATCTCCGACAAATTGTTTGAACATCGGCCATACCATGTTGAACAAGAACGGTTGACGAACTATGTGCACTTCCTTCATCCGGAGTGGCATGGCTTCCTATACGTTTACACAAAATATAAACGAAATATAAGTACACAGACATTGATATAATCATTAAGTGACAATATTATTACATGCGAACCACGGTAATCGTTTTAAGGGTATTTATTTATGGCTGAACTGCGTTTATTGTACAAAAAAAAAAAAATGTATTTTAGTATTATTTAGATTTTAACATATTTTAACGTTGAATTATAGGAACTGCAGCAAGTACAAATAAATAATTTTGTTTACCTATCTATATCATACGATTGTAGAACATAATAACTTAATCAGTTCTATTAGATCTAAATTTATTATGGTCATTATTATTAATATCGAACGCAATAATACTGCCAATTGATGTTAAAGCCATACTTTTGAATGTAATACATTTCTATATATTATTATCTATTAAAAATGCCACACACGCGTGCACATTAAGGCTATATGCCTGCTTTAACCTATACGTAACAACGACAGTGCAATCATAATAGTCATTCAAATTCCAATTATCATAGCAAAATTATAATAAATGTTGATGATGATGGTGATAATAATAATAATTGAAAGTGCAATCTCCGTTGAAAACGCTATTTGTTTTTCGCATAATCAAAATTGGAATAATTAAAAAAATAAAATAATTTCTAGAGTCTCTCTTATAATACGAAAATATGCATCACGATGGCGGCAAGATAAATTATGTTATGAAAATTTTTTTATATTTTACTTAACACGATGGCCCATAATTAGTTTCATCCCACGAAATGTTACGAATATACAGTTTAGATATTATATATACGACGCACTAAATTATATTAAATTACGTATAGACAGATAAGTAATAAGTACCTATAATAATAATAATATGTCAGGGGCAAAACATTATTATTGAGTCCAAACACCATCGCACACATTCGAGTCACCTCGCTTGAGTTCTAACGCATATGTAGATGATAGGTACCATTATAGTTATGATTATATTATTATTAAAATATGTTTTTGTTCTGCGGGCGAGACATAACGTCGTAGACTTTGAACTTGACGGGAAAAGAATGATAAATTCCAAAGTGCCTATATACTTGTATGTGCTTATAGGTATCTGCACAGTGGTTATTTTCTTTCCATATAATTAAAGTAACGTATTTTTTTCGAATGCACTTACTTGAATATAAAGAAGCAATGTCATTGCGAACGAAGGTGACATGGCCATGACCTGTTTAGTGGACAGCCCATGGAAGTCGATGATGATGACTGCGCCACGAACTTGAGTCTCTTCTTCTACCAGCGATGCAATTTGGACCAAATAAAGAACTTTGAACAACTGTTCGCTGGCAAGACTTTTCGGGTCCCAAGCCGCTAAACGGTTTAAAAATCGATGTAAATGTCATAATTTTCTTTAAAAATATGTTCCAATGTTTATATGTATATCAACAGATATTAGATTATTAATTACCAGTACAAAATACGTATAGGTACTACTGGAATTCCGGATTTCGTTAATACGTTTTGAGAAACTCATAAATACAATATGTATGACCGATTAATACGATTAAAAATAAATCGTCCGTTGCCTAACAATGACTACAGATAATGAAGACAACAGTGGGAAGTAACATTTTACGAACGAGATAAAAAATGTTATCTTCTCAAGTATAATTGGTGATATTAATGAAATAAATCGTTCGTAACAGAACGATTCACATTGCGATGAAAGTTACTTTCAGTCTGTCCGTGACAATGAATATAAAATAGATATTATTATTATACTAGGTAACTTTATGTCATAGTAATACACTGATGCTACCTATTGAGACAAAATTATATTGTATGTGCTACAGTAGTGTTGTTGTAATCTATACACTAATTATTATAATAATTATTGTTTGTTTTGCGATGATGAGAGGTCGACGACGTTAACCTACGAGCAGCAACACCGATCGCATCGCTATAATATTATAATATTTTTGTATACCTACTCGATATTTAATTACTCCCTCCCTCCCGCTCACGACTTACCCACCAACCCATCTCCTGATTTCGAGATATCAGCAGCTGCAAGGGGGTTATCATATAATAACAATTTATATACGTTTATAAGGATTTATATTAATTTATACAGAATAATACGAATAATATTATGACGTTTGACCGGAAAACCACGTGTACCTACCTAATAGTATTACAGTACATCGCCATCGTGGCACTGTTAGTCTGTTCGGAGAGTCTTGAAAAATGCATACAATTACTAGGTACTATACGACGGTAAGACAAAGGTGTGATAAATATCTAAGCTTTCCGGGGAAATCGTCTATTATGAATGTCAAACATCATCAATAACGCATATTTCAATCGGCACCACGTAAGACCGTTTGGTGAGGGGGGTGAATAAAAATTATATTATCGCTTGCAAATTGTCCAGAGTACAATATTTCAACTTCTGCTCAGGAGAAAACCCGCATTATATGATATCGTTTTGAGGTCAATGGCGATTTTAATGTATAGTAATAGTCACAAGCCGTGTTTGGGTTTTGTTGGCAAATCTCTTTTAAAACACTTACACCACATACATTTTTTTCATCGAAAAAGTGAATTTCAAAAATTACATGTTTGTAATTTACGATTTGTATGTAAAATGTATAGAGTACACTACCAAAATGTTCAACTGGTGGTGGTTCCAACAGAATACCACTGCAGTGAATAACGGCACAAAAAAATAACAAAAAGGCGGTTTATTCCCCAAAGGGTTTTAAGTTTTAATGCATATACGGATTAAATACGATACCCGCGTGAGTAGAAAATATTTTACGTCCGATAAAAAGAAATACATATTGAATGAGTTTAACTTTTAAGGGATTCCAAATAAATAATAATAATAATATATTACATAAAATAAGTATTAAAAACATTCGTGATAAGATAATCTCATAAGAACTAATAAATATCTCGTTCAGTTTTTTTACACCCTTGACTCGTATACACGTACGAAGGTAGCACTCGAAACGTATATAATATTATTTTTAATTAAGCAGCTAGCAAATTAGTGGAAAATATTATGTGAAGCGTGGCCGTCGTCGCCGTTTAGATGAATACAACGCGAAACAATATTATAAAAGACGACTTTTCACCAAAGCCATATTAATAATATTATAGGGTCGACTTAGGTACTTTATTTAGGAGTTCCGCGTGTAACATGATGTTTGTTTGTAATATTTAAAGATATAATATAATATTCAAACACATTATTTAATTAATATACTTACATCCCATGTTTATGATTAAGACTCTCCTGTTCTTTTGATCTCGGTCGACGAGCACATTGACAACGTTATTCTCGGTGAACAATTTCTTCTCTTCTCTTGGTAAAGGGTTGCCGACGATTTTCTCGTGTTTATCTTTGAACGTGGCCAAACGTTTCATCTGTAAGACACAATGTCAAAGACATATAAATTACAATGCGGTATTGTGCGTGTTAACGTTTTATCTAAATCGTTGTTGTTGCATAATATCGTTATTTTACAAAGCAATATTATAAAATATATTATATCGAAAGCGAAAATGTTGTAAAATACACGGAAACCTGCTTTTACACTAAATGTGTTAGCAAATAAAGCTAATGATTGTAATATGTTCATCGTGTACACAAAAATTGAAATCAGCATAAATGAGTGTTTAATCACAGTTCATATAAAATATATACCTACGTTTTAAAAATAGGTCGAACACGATCATTGAGATTTTGTTTTGTAATTATAGCTACCGCATAATATTATCTTTGTTCTTTAAGCGTATGCCGCACATTATAACATTATGCGCTATACAAGTGACCATCAATTACACTGATTATCAATTTTCAGCCGACCATCGTCTTGATTTAGTGTAATTATTGAGACCCATAATTAGTGTTACCTTCCGATAGCGAATTTAATAATTAATTGTATCGTTTTTAGTCTTGAATCGAATAACTGCATATTATAAATAGCTCAGCGGCAAATTAATTTTCCTACGAGTTATTGATTATCAAATCGAAAAGTACGCATTATAGGTATGATTATTGATAAAAAAAAATAATATTATACTGATGAATATCCACGTGCTAAATAATGCAGTTAGTGGATCGATCCGGCGAGAAAACTTTTGTGAAAACGTTTTACGAATAAGATATTATTTTTGTAAGTGAGTGCAATGTAAAATTTTCTTTTTCACTCGAAAATACACGAAATGCATGTTAAATTCATAATAGTATCATATTATAAATCAGAGGCTGCAAAAGTTAGAGAGCAACAATAACGGTTCGTGTGGTAGAATTTTCTCAGCTGTGCAAAACACTCTGGTAACAGTAGAATTCATTTGCGAGAGTACAAAATTGTGGTATTGCTACTGCAGTCGTGGTAACCTACCTATCATAATAATTGTGGTTCATAAGTGACGATGAACTGTGTGAATATTATATTATCATGAATATTACGAATTATTAAGATTGCCACACCACGATAGGATTTTTTTTGATTTTATTTATATAAAAAATATTTTTACAGATTACTAGGCCTCATTGAAATAACTCATAATAGAGTGATATTATTATTGTATCTATTGTATCATAATTCATAAAAATGTTAAGCCTACAGTTTATCATAAATTGATTAGATTATAATGTTATTTTTTATATTTATTTTAAAGACAAATCGTACATAATATACTACAAGACTCATAAAAATTAATATGCATGACAATCTCAATAAAATTTCAGCTTGAGGTGTTGACATTTAGTGGTGCCCGTGCCGTGAAAACTACATTGCAAAAGTAAACAGACTAATTAGATCGGATTTTTAACCCGAAAAAAATCACCGTGACACGCGACACAATATGGTGATAACGAAGGCGTCAATAAATAAGTAGTAATCGCATTGATAATTAATATATAGGTAACAAGGACGTAATTAAAGGGGGTGAGTGTGATAGATCCCCTCCAAAACTTTTATTTTATATTTTTTTGGGGTAGGTTACTGTATGAGGCTTATAAATTATGCTAAAAACATACAATCCTCCCCCCCAAAATCAAATTCTTTATACACCACAGATAGCTAATAATAATGAGTCAGTCATGAATTTGCTTACCAGATCGTATGCACTTTGAGCGTAGAAATGGGTTGGTCTCAAGAAAATCATCAAGTATTCGTCGGTGTCCTTGTACAATAACGTGTTCTTCTCTGCAAGACATGATAAAAAATTAATAAATACAATACAATACTCACAATTGTTATCGTTTACAAGTTTAAGAAAATATTAAAATTATATATTAGGTATAGTGTAATATTTGAATAAAATATCGATATTGATAGTATAGAACAATAATAAATGTATTTATTTATCCATTAAATATAGTTAATATATTATCAATTTATCGTACAAAAACAGTAAGAGAGGTCAACAGAACGTCTCTGATGTCTAATTGTATGAATATAAAAATATTGTGTATTTTAGAATCATGTTGTGTGTGTGTGTTGGGGTGGGTTGTATTGATATACATTCGTAGGTATTGCGCATGGTACGAAAAATATCGATACATGGTGACTAGATTATGCTCTGCCATCAACAGCTCATCGTGGCGTTTTGAAATAAACTAATAAAATGATTGATATACCTAATCAAAATATTTTAATATTATTAGGTATGTCATTTTGTGGCTATATAGTCTTATACGTATATATTATAGATAATTTTGGTTAAGTTCAACTTGGCCACACGCAAAGTGTGGTGTACAAGTTTATAATATAATATTATCCATATTTCTATACTTAAAGCACTGAAATATTAATAATTTTATGAATGGACTCTAAACGATGCACATATTATACCTCACACCTGCGATATTTCACTGCTAAAATATTGTGTACGATTCACTCGTCAGTTTAAGAGCTGATAGCGTGCGATCTGTACTGAGATTATTTCTACGATAGAAGCAATAGACATTTAGGATGAGGACGATAATGGTTATATTATTTTTAATAATATACTTATTTTATCGCACATGCTTGAAACGTGAACGAATGTATAATCAATATTATGCTAGTTTTCATACATTTCAAGGATAATTATAAGTCCAAACTATAGTATTGTAAGTCTCATAAGCTGTTATATTATTTATTGATGATTTTTACTATCACAAAAATTTGTTTTTTCGTATTTTTTTTACTTTTGTATTTTATTTTTTTTTTTCAACAATATCTGTAACGGTGCCCTTCAAAAATGATTGTGCAACAAAATATTTATTATCTATTTGGATGACGATTGAAACGGGTTTAGCAAGCGGTACTTCAATAAATAATAATACAATAATGTATGATATYATTAGATTATAATATATGTACCCGTATCGTAAGTAAGAGATAAAGAAATAATATAATTATTAGAATGGAAGAGTCAAATGTACAGAGTGATCGTCGGCTAGATCGGAATCTATCGACAAGGTGTCGTACTATATTATAATATATTCGTATTTAGAGTGATATCCGATGTTCGATACGACTGTATCGAGAACAACAGTGAATTATGCCCACCTCGTTTTTTTTAGATATTTGTATCAATGGTTTGCGACTATAGGAAATGTCAATGATAATATTACGTTAATTAAATTCCTAATAGAAGTATCCTAAATAGAAGAAACAACAAAGTAGGTAATAACATTATTTGAAACATTCAGAATAATATTATATAAACAAATKTTATAGTGATACATTTAAAGAAATAGAAATATCATAATTTAAAATATAAAATTTAAACAAGTTTATCCTCCAATAACCTTTGGCGTTAAAGTAAATTGGTCAATAATAATTATATTTTTATCTACCACCCCATCGAGKGTCAACAGAAACATGAATTGCATACTCGCAAGCCTGGCCTACCCATTGAGATCCTGGTTCGTTTCAGGAAGTTGCAGATTAACAAATGATGTTATACAATGTAGGGGAGACATAATATTATATTATAATATGCTTGAATTATTATTATTATTATTATTATTAAATCGAAAAAATGTGATTCTACCACTGAAGTATAACACAACATAATAAACGTTCAGCATCGATTTGGTATGACGAACAACCGATATTCACACGGTGCATAAGATTTTGGTACTTTACAAACTATTATATGATACGTATAATATATATGACTATCAATTTGAAAAGGGTACCTATAGTCAACTGTACAGGTGGTCATTCATCAATAAAATTTAATTAAAACGGAATTTAATGATGATGTAATACTACGTAGATAATGTATGGTGATATGCATACAGATAATAATATTAATAATGTATACGAAATAAATTAACCGATTCGGACATTTGAACTATTTTAAATAAATAGATATGAAAAACAAAAACTGAGTCGTCAATGTAATATTATAATATTTTGTAAGGATTTAATTTTTTTTGATAAACTAAAATCCATTATCTTTACACAAATGGTTTGTGATCTTTTTTGTTATTAATGAATAGGGTAGGTAATAATATTTTCGAACAGTGAGAATAATAAAGACCATACCAACTACTATAATACTTATTTGTCATATTCACCGAATCTATCACAAAACTGTAGATTTTTGCCCCACAACCATCTTGACGAAACAAAACCATAGATGAAATTTGTCAGCCTTCGTTACAATAATGATAACAATATATTTTTTTGAACTCTTAGTTATTATAATGAACCGTATGACTGGATCGACTTTGTCTCCAATCAATGCGCAAACAAGAGATTATTGGAATAAATCAACATTAATCCATCATATACCACACAAAGCCACGTCTTTAACGACGACGGAAACAAACATTTTTCTCGCGGCGGTTTTTAATGATTTATTGTAATATTAAAATCATATCATCTTACTTTAACGTCTAGTAAACATTTAGGGAATATACGCATTTGTTACGATGCGGGACAGTTAAATTGAAAACTGATGAGCGTGGCGCAGAGAAGAGGAGAAATTCGAATTCCGTTTTTGCAGAGTAACGATAAAAATTATAAAACTAATATTAGGGTACCTAAATATTATATAAAACCATCAAAATAGGTTCAAAAAACAGTTTTCTGCTATACTACAGTAGTTAACCTGTAACGGATGTGGTAAGTTTGAGTTTATAATGGATTGAAAACGGTTCTAAGCGAACACGATCCAAGTTTTTGGCAACCAAGGTATCAAACAACTATACAAATTATAAAAAAATATGTTATAATGTTCACCGTTCGTAGGTTAAATTCCTCTCTCATTAAATTTAAAAATCACTGGGAATTTTCAATTTTGACATCCCAAAAATACCATATAGATCCAAATTCGTTACCTACGAGAAATCTCTCTCCGAGTCAATGATTGGAATATTATTATTATTATTATGAAAAATGTATGCTTGGATAAAAAAATTATTAAAAAAAAAAAAATACAGACCATTGTGAGATCAATACAGTTTTCGCTCGAAATCTAAGAAACTGTTGCTTATCTATGCCTAGTATCTGACTTGTCGAATTAACAATCGAAACCACAAAACAATCATCGTTTTCTACCCCCAAATATCAATCAATTCGAGGACGGTGGTGGTCATACTGCACTTACCTTTGAGCAACTCTCGGAGTTCGGCTAACGACTTCTGCACTTGTTCCGGGGTCTCACGGATTTCGCGTTCCGCAAGTGCGCATGCGTCTGCGCTCAGCGGCGACGTATCCAGACTGAAGGCGTTGTTGAGCATCTTCATCGATGGCTTCCTGCAATCGTCCAACGACAATCTCTTCGACGACAAACTGGCTTTCAACATTGTGGAATGCGCGTTACCGACCATCAAACGATATACAGGACTTCRGGTAAACGATTTGTGATTGCTACGTGAACGTTATCTCTGACGAGAAACTTAGGAAGTCGATGACTGAGTTGTGTACCGCCGAAACTACTACTGAACTTCGAAAGCACGGGAGGATACAATATATGATATACCGTATTGGGGACAAGTGTTGCGACACCGTTGCAGCGTATATTTTATTTATTATGCTCGTTAGTACAGCTCACCTGAACTGATTACACTGATCCTACAGGTTTCTGACTAATTTCCGATACGTTTGCCACAAATTTAAATACTATTCCGGAATCCCGCTATCGGACACACAGTGCGCGCGTCCGTCGATACCACCACCACGGTCGCGGTCCTTATCTCACAGCATCACATCGCACGTCATGAATGCGCGCGCCTCCTTCTCATCATGACTCGAAACGCATATGGTCTTTGTCCGATTTCGACAGTTTTTAATTTTAATATTTTGGATTTATTGATTGGTTTTGTTTGTTCTTTACTTTTTCTTTTTTTTTCTTATCCAATGTTTCGTTATTGATTTGTTTATTTATTTGTTTATTCATTTAATGTATTTATATCGGTATTGCGCATGCTACCAACGTTGATGCGAATAAAAAATAATAATCGTAAAATAACATAAAACAATAATCACTATTATTATTATTACTATATCATTATTGTTACTACGTTATAATGACCAACGCCAATCCGAGATAACATGCGCATCCTAGCCAAACGGTGCACAATAATATTGTAATACGAATTTTGTAGGACTTTGGCCTTTACACCCGCCGAGTTATTGTGTCATTTGTTGTTTGCGCGATTGATAATAAATTGTATGCTTGGCGGCGCGTTGTAAACAATAATAGTAATAATAATAATAATGATAATAATAATAATATGATTCCACGATTGGCACGAAAATCGGATTTCATCTGAATTGTGTGCCGATCGTGTCTTGCACTTCGCGGTGTGTTTCCTATGTGTACGCAACGTCGGGCGTAAACGGTCGTCTCCTCGATCGAATAACATATCTTCAAAGTGTTCAGGTTTATCTAAGAGCAGCCCAATCAAAAGTACAACCGAAATCCTCTGTGGAAAAATTCGGGAAATCCTTAATACTCGACTTCTCAACAATTTTAATATAGTGGTATATTCATTCTGTAATCCAATCGGTCTAATGATAAATTCCCCGCGATACTCATTTTTACGGTTTCTACATACTAGGAATTTCACATTTTATTTTATGGATTTTATAATAATATTTTGCAACAACAGAATTATATGGTTTTAGATATTAATATTATATATTATCATTTCATATTTGTAATAAGTTAATATATCCATTTTAATATATTTGAAATCAAATATTAGGAAAGGATAGATTAGAATGCGATGAAAATCCCGCGATAGGTTTCCCGATGTTAGTTTGTACGGTTTTTATAAATTAGGATTTTCACATTTTATTTAACAAATTTTACCATATTAAACCTCTGAATCAAAATTCTATGGTTTATGATATCATATTTTTAATCAGTCGTTGGATCATATTACCATATTTGAAAACAAATATTAGAAAAGTACTGATTTAGCACAATGTGGATAGGTTTTTTCTTCCAATATTTGGTACAAAATGCATATTATTACTTCTATGATAACTGTTTGTTTGTTTTACAATTTATTTATATCAATTATCAGTTTGATTATTTTCTTTGCAATTAAAATAAATTTCCTGATTTTTAATACAAGTTTATAGRTATTGTCTAAAAGGCGGAAACGCATATTTTTGTTGTTATATTTTTAAAAAGAATATCAATGTCAAAATCCAAAAAATTTAATTTTTAAAACATACCTATATCAAATCCAAAAATTGAAGGTTCTAAATATTGCTTGCGAGTACTGAGCGACTAGCGATGCTTTTACCGATTTCTAAGTGCTAATATTTTTCAAACTCGAAATTACTCTTTCGATCGATAATGTTTACCTATTGTCGACAAAAAAAAAAAACAATCAAAGTGTTCGTGTGGCTCATAAGAAATAATAATATTATGTACTTTTGGTATCTCTAATCAGTATTCCTATTCTACTTTTTAATTTTGAAGTTAAGTCCCTATCTAAAATATATTTTTTGCCATTTTACCATCTATAATATTAAGTATYAATTAAATCTATATTGTATACCTTTATTAAACTAATATTCATTTGAAAATCTTAAAATGACAAAAAAAAAAATGATTAGTAACTAAATATTTTGGACGTATGTAGAGGGGATTGGGACATTTTCACTCCCAGCATTTTTTTAAAGCTAACATGCATACTGCATAGTATATAAATACATCATMATATTGATCATCTTAGAAAAACAATAAATTTAATAAACGTTAAACATATTAAATAATCTTAAAATTAGAACAGTAACTATTGCTATAGTTATTATTTTTTGCTATTAAAAACTTATCTTAAATATAATCAATACATTTTTGAAAAAAAAAATTCTTATTCATTTCATCACAAATTCTTTTTAAATATGCCACTGTACTATTTTTGAAATTTTTCGTATTCTTAGTTTAAACGTAAATAGTAATATAAAAATAAATAATCTATCACTATAATACAACAAACATTTCTGTTATTTTCCTTGATAAAAAAAATGTATATTTAGTTATATTTTAGTAGATTAGATAGGTATAATAATATATGACCTTAAATTGTTATTTGATATAAAGATTTAATATTTGTTTAATTATAAATTGAAATATGTATACCTTAAATATTTAATAACTATGAAAAATAAGTAGGTTTACAATATGGTATTATGATATAAGCCCAAAAAAAATGTATTTTATTATAACTTAGAAAATTAAAAGAACAAAGCCACTGTTTATTTAATCCACATACTAATTTAAAAATATAAAAAAGAAGTAGACTAACTTATTTTAAACCAAGTTAAATTAAATTTTTTTCCATATTTACTTATTTAACTTATCAAACTTGTGTTCTCCTAACATACCTTACCTACTTGAAWTATTATTTTGGTTAACTTTCCCAGCTTTTTTTATGATATSTATATTCATCTTTATAGGTATAGCCCACGTGTCAAATCATACACGACACACCGACTTAAAACTCAAAACGATAAATGACGAAGCAAAAATCTTTTATAAAAGATTCCATTGCCGCCTAAATAATCACCCAAATCAACTTATAAAAACTTGGCCACTCCCACAATACCTGGGAATCCTTCGAGACGTTTAAAGCGTAAGTGGTGTCGACGGTTTCGTGATCTCTTAAATTAAATTAAATAAATCAAATAAATTAAATTTTAATATCAAGCTAACAGAAAGTGTCATCAATGGGTGGTTCATTTCATCAAATCTCATGACCTGTCAACTTTTATCTAATATTCTTATTGTGTTAAGTATAATTAATGATACAGATTGTTTATTTCTTGTAAAAATAAAAAATAAAAATAGGTATATAGTAATTGATACCCATAGTATTTTTTTTTTTTTTATTAATGCATAATAAAAAATATATGTTTTAATAATAATTAATTAAATTCAGTTRTAAATAAGAAATCAATAATTATATTTTAAACCATATTTATTATTATTCATTTTTTGATAGTGCACATTCAATTAATTTAATCTAAAAATATGTTTAAAATAGTGTAGGAAAAAACATTACCTAACCAAAATAAAATKAAAAACTCTTTCAAAACCTAAGTAGCAAATATAAAATTCGTCAAATTATTATGAATATTATTATTATTGTTTTCCGTGTTTAAAATGTTTAAATAAAAATTAGTGCACCATCTCCAAATAAATAACGGTATAGATTTAAAATAATTATTGTTTTAAAAATTATTAAAATTTTTTTACTTAGGCAAAAATACTAAATGATATACACGAAAAAAAATTAATTATTATCAACATTGCATTGTATTATACAATAATTTACTATCAATGTCGTCAGCTATAATATTATCCAACTCGTGAGATATAATAAAATTAGTTTTTGCACCACTAAAATCATAAAACCCAAATTAATGTTACTAACCGTTTTACCCCCTCATTGTAAAATGCACAAAGGAAATAAAAATCTGAATGCTCTTACGGATTTTTTCAACACTTGAATTTCAAACGAGTTGGTAAATATTTAAAGTGCATGTCCGTTTTTTAAATCATCATGAATTACTATCTTCATAAAAGGCGCACTTGTAAATATTTTAACGTTAGGTCTGAGGCTCACAGTATTAGGAGTACACAAACGCTGTTATTGCATCTTTATTCGCGAGATAAACGGAAGTAACAAAATGCACATTTTTTTTTTAATAATATGTATTTATTTTAAAATGTACTTAACAAATAAATACTCGTACATTATACATTTGACTTTTTTTATATATAAATTTTTATATTTAAAAATATACGAKTACATTTTATTTTTATTCCAAATATAGGTTTTACGACTACATGTGCTTTTTGTATGAAAATGAGATTTTAAATTATGAAATAATTATATTATATATTTATATCATCATTATAAATCTGTATCATTTATAATTATTTATATACCTACATTTTTTATAAGCAATGAGTACATATTGTTTCTCAAAAAAATTCTAATAATACGCATATTCATAATAAATAGAGTATAGTACAAGACGAAGATTTAATTTGGGCTTTGAAAGCTTTTATCGTATAGCAGGTATACCTAAAAATAGTGACTTCATTTGTAGACTTTATTTTTTTACATTCGATTTCGGTATACTCGGTATATTATGTATTCCTTTCGATTGTTATATTAGTATATTACGTTATCAACGGTATTATTATCGAAAATCATAATATATAAGTGAATTAATTTTACTGAATATATTATTATCACATTGGCTTAACACTTACAGTTAATTAATGTTAAATAAATATCTCAATAATCATTTACAAAATATATATATATATATATATATATATATATATATATATGACAAAACGTAACATTTTAGAAACTTATCGTATTTTGGCAGTTGACTGAAGTAATTAAAATCAAGTGAGAAATTAAACATTTCTCAGAGTATTTATACGTCACACTGTTCTATGATAATAAATGAATCAATTAAAAACAAATGTTATTTGAACATACCAACCATTAAAATATTATTAAAGGTATGTTTATAGCAGCTTAGTATGTCTCTTTTATGTAAGGTACCTATATCTAAGAGCAAAATATTGACTTATTGTTATTTAAAT